CCTAATATACAGAAAGGTTCTGTTAAGCTGTGCAAAGGTCCAAAAATCCTACCAAGGTACCAGCTTTGACCACTACATGCCACTGTTCGCAACACACACATTACACACTTACCCATGTACTAAGTTACATAACACAAACACTCTTTCATGCACAACACACGCGAAGTTTTTATGTGCTGAATATCAACATGCACGTGTGTAATTAAAAGATCGTGTACGCAACACAAACAGCAGCTGAGCGTGAATAGCAGTTTTTTTAGAGCAAGTTTTGTTAGTGAGCACCTATTGAGGGGTGGTGGTAAGGCACAGACTTAATGTGAGGCCAGCCAGACGTACGCCTGGTACTCATTTTAGGCTGAGTCGACCTAGAAGAGGACCCTCACGGGTTTGGAAAAACATTCACCCTTTGAACGTGAATGATATTTTACACCCACCTCTGGCACACATCAACATAAAAAAAACTATTAGCATACGATGCAATGTATGTTGAGCTTCTTTTGCACCGTACGGGAAATGGTGGAGCTGCGGCACTGCGGTTAGCGCATTGGGGTTGTGACCACCGCCAACATGAGTTCACTTCCCAAACACGGCTCAACATCAGTAGACCAGCCTAGTGAAGTATGGTCAAACAATCTCCCACGAGCGGCATGGTATGGGGATGTCGTTCTTTCACCAATGGACTGACCGAGGATCTCAAAATCATTATCAACAGAATGCACACAAAAACAAATGCAGACACGAACATATCCGAACTCACATATTTCAATAAAGCAACGTATGCAAGTTAAAAAAGCTGTAGCCATGAATATAATACACAGTGCAAAGACAAGTAATATCTCCCGTTTGAAGCTTTGTAGGCCAAAGCAAGTGTTGTTACCGAACTATTCACCATTTATAGTCGTGTAGGGCAGGACAAGTGTTGTTACCGAGTATTTATGCCGCCGATTATAGCCTTAATGGCCATGGAAAGTATTGTTACTGAGTACCTATACCCCGATTATCGCCTTGTAGGCCTTGGCAAGTGCTGTTAGTTAGTATCTATATCCCGATTAAAGCCTTGTAAGGCCATGGTAAGTTGTTACAGAGTACCTATCCCCCTACTATAGTCGTGTAGGCCATGGTAAGTACTGTTACAGAGTACCTATCCCCCGTTTATAACCTTGTAGGCCATGGTAAGTACTGTTACAGAGTATCTATCCCCCGATTATAACCTTGTAGGCCATGGTAAGTTCTGTTACAGAGTACCTATCCCCGTTTATAACCTTGTAAGGCCATGGTGAGTTCTGTTACAGAGTACCTATCCCCCGATTATAACCTTGTAGGCCATGGTAAGTACTGTTACAGAGTACCTATCCCCCGTTAATAACCTTGTAGGCCATGATAAGTACTGTTACAGAGTACCTATCCCCCGTTTATAACCTTGTAGGCCATGGTAAGTACTGTTACAGAGTATCTATCCCCCGTTTATAACCTTGTAGGCCATGGTAAGTACTGTTACTGAGTATCTATCCCCCTACTATAGCCTTGTAGGCCATGGTAAGTACTGTTACAGAGTATCTATCCCCCGTTTATAACCTTGTAGGCCATGGCAAGTACTGTTACAGAGTACCTATCCCCCGTTTATAACCTTGTAGGCCATGGTAAGTACTGTTACAGAGTACCTATCCCCCGTTTATAACCTTGTAGGCCATAAGTACTGTTACAGAGTATATATCCCCCGTTTAGAACATTGTAGGCCATGGTAAGTTCTGTTACAGAGTACCTATCCCCCGTTTATAACCTTGTAAGGCCATGGCAAGTACTGTTACAGAGTACCTATCCCCTGATTATAACCTTGTAGGCCATGATAAGTACTGTTACCGAGTACCTATCCCCGTTTATAACCTTGTAAGGCCATGGCAAGTACTGTTACAGAGTACCTATCCCCCGTTTATAACCGTGTAGGCCATGGTAAGTACTGTTACAGAGTATCTATCCCCCGTTTATAACCTTGTAGGCCATGGTAAGTACTGTTACAGAGTACCTATCCCCGTTTATAACCTTGTAGGCCATGGTAAGTACTGTTACTGAGTAACTATCCCCCTACTATAGTCTTGTAGGCCATGGTAAGTACTGTTACAGAGTATCTATCCCCCGTTTATAACCTTGTAGGCCATGGCAAGTACTGTTACAGAGTACCTATCCCCCGTTTATAACCTTGTAGGCCATGATAAGTACTGTTACAGAGTATCTATCTCCCGTTTATAACCTTGTAGGCCATGGTAAGTACTGTTTTACAGAGTATCTATCTCCCGTTTATAACCTTGTAGGCCATGGTAAGTACTGTTACAGAGTATATATCCCCCGTTTAAAACCTTGCAGGCCATGGTAAGTTCTGTTACAGAGTACCTATCCCCCGTTTATAACCTTGTAGGCCATGGTAAGTTCTGTTACAGAGTATCTATCTCCCGTTTATAACCTTGTAGGCCATGGTAAGTACTGTTTTACAGAGTATCTATCTCCCGTTTATAACCTTGTAGGCCATGGTAAGTACTGTTTTACAGAGTACATATCCCCCGTTTATAACCTTGTAGGCCATGGTAAGTACTGTTACAGAGTACATATCTCCCGTTTATAACCTTGTTGGCCATGGTAAGTACTGTTACAGAGTACCTATCCCCCGATTATATCCTTGTAGGCCATGGTAAGTACTGTTACAGAGTACCTATCCCCCGTTTATAACCTTGTAGGCCATGGTAAGTACTGTTACAGAGTACCTATCCCCCGTTTATAACCTTGTAGGCCATGGTAAGTACTGTTACAGAGTATATATCTCCCGTTTATAACCTTGTTGGCCATGGTAAGTACTGTTACAGAGTATATATCTCCCGTTTATAACCTTGTTGGACAGGCAAGTACCGTACTGTTATTGAATACACTATGTAACACTATTTTTGTCCCTGGGAAGTAAGTGTTAGTTTCTCATTGCTTATGCCTCAAAAAAATATAAAATGGCTATTATTATTATTCCCCGCAAACTTTGCTTTTGTGACCAGGACTTTATGTGAAGGAATGACACAAATGCACAAGTTGAAAATAGGTAAATTTCAAAACATCACTGTCCTGCTCACAAAAGCAAAGTATGTGGGGAATAATAATAACCATTTTCTGTACCTTTGAGGCATAAGCAATTATGAAATAACACTTACTACCCAGGAACCAAAAAAAATGTGTTACACTGTTATTAATGGAGTGGATTATTAACTTTGCTTTTGTGTCCTGGTCACAAGAGCAACGTTTGTGGGGAATAATAATACCCATTTTCTGTACTTTTGAGGCATAAGCAATTAGAAAATAACACTTACTACCCAGGAACCAAAAAAAAATGTGTTACACAGTGATATCTATCCCCGATTATAGCATTGTAGGCCAGGGCAAGTACTGTTACTGAATATCTATCACCCAATTATAGCATTGTAGGCCAGGGCAAGTGCTGTTACTGAATATCTATCCCCGATTATAACATTGTAGGCCAGAGTAAGTGCTGTTACTGAATATCTATCACTCGTGTATGGGCTTGTAGGCCGGGGCAAGTGATGTTACTGAATATCTATCACTCGTGTATAGGCTTGTAGGCCGGGGCAAGTGCTGTTACTGAATATCTATCACTCGTGTATAGGCTTGTAGGCCGGGGCAAGTGCTGTTACTGAATATCTATCACTCGTGTATAGGCTTGTAGGCCGGGGCAAGTGATGTTACTGAATATCTATCACTCGTGTATAGGCTTGTAGGCCAGAGCAAGTGCTGTTACTGAGTACGTGTTAAGGTTAGGCACATGTATACCCGCATACGCACACATATGCAAGATAAACACCCTCTCTCTCTTACCTATATAGCCCTCTTGTCACGGCAGCCCTTTTGCCCACTTCAGCAATTGTTTCTTGCGATGGTTGTCCCACCTGATGATGGACGCTTGTGTTGTGCCCGAAACGTCGTGACTTATTTTATACCTACGTGACTTTACCGAAAGAACCAAAGAGTATGGACCCCTACAGTTTGAACATGCTCGGGGTAAGCGCTGTTAGAGCTCCTATGAAGGCCACATGTACACAAAGCTACAAATGTACGTGTGTGCTGCATGCGTAGATTAATATATAAAGACAATTAAACATCTATCTTGAACAGACTATTGAGGCAAGCGCTGTTAGCGAGAACCTACGGATGGCAACAATACGAGGGGGTGGGGTGGTCAGCATCGTGCCCGACAGCCTTCGTCTCCACAGTGAAGATGTTTACACACGAGTGGGATACGCACACAATGTAGGCAGCGTGCACGTAAACACTCTATACACAGAGACAAAAAACGACGAAAAGATCCCACTTACAGCCAGCCTGTAACAGAGTGTTGTGGGCCAAGTGCTGTTAGCGAGCAGCACCTATGAAGGCCGGCACGGCACACGGAGGGGGTGGGTGTCCAGCACCACGCCCGGCCGCCTTTGTCTCCCCAGTGAAGATGTTTACTACACACCGCTACACGAGGTACTCATCGTCACTGGTATTTGGCCGTGAGCGGGAGTCGAACCACGGGCGGCCAGGCTCGAGGCGCGTCGCGCTAACAGCTCCACCACCGCTCCCCACCAGCACGCAAACCACGCACCGACACACGCACTGTACACATCAAACATCGGAGGCGCCAACACCGCATTCTATCACTTGCGTTTAACACAAGTACCATCGCGAACTTAACGCTACTATGCATACGTAGATAATAAGAGCAATGCCCTGGCGACAAGGCGCACCGTTAACGTGCACAGTGCGACTCGGGATTATCCAAACTCGAGGCGAGCGCGCATACGTGCACACAAATTGACCATATCGCACCTCCTTAGAGACAGCGGGAATGCGCGGTGCGCGAAGATCGACGTCAACTGCTTATCAATCGCAAATTAATAGCGATTTAAGGTAAACAAAACCATCCTTCTAACACAGCAATGTTCAAACGGTCTCGTGGGTGAACTCACCTCAAGCGGGGCCTAGCCGAGAGGCGTCAACCATCAGCAAGCCCTCACAGCTACGCGCCTCAACAAACGAAAACAACTCCACCATCACCCATTTTACGGATAAACAAACACAAAAAAACCCTACTAAACAAATTATAAAAGGCGGTGACGACGACGTTTAATTGTAACGATTCATCAATTTAATTGTTTACGAAAATTTTTTGTTACCTTTAAGAATAAATATAAACGCCGAGACTGAGATGCGAACCCGTGGCCGCTAAACCGTTGTCTCCTTCGGTTCGGCCGCGCGGACCCGGAAGAGATCCGGGGGCAGAGGACGACCCCCACCCACTCCAACTCCCCCCACCCCCTCCCACTACCCCCCACCCCCTCCCACTACCCCCCACCCCCTCCCACTACCCCCCACCCCCTCCCACTACCCCCCACCCCCTCCCACTACCCTCCACCCCCTCCCACGACCCCCCACCCCCTCCCACTACCCCCCACCCCCTCCCACTACCCCCCACCCCCTCCCACTACCCCCCACCCCCTGCTACTACCCCCCACCCCCTCCCACTACCCCCACCCCCTCCAACTCCCCCACCCCCTCCCACTACCCCCCACCCCCTCCCACTACCCCCACCCCCTCCAACTCCCCCTCCCACTACCCCCCACCCCCTCCCACTACCCCCACCCCCTCCCAATACCCCCTCCAACTCCTCCCACCCCCTCCCACTACCCCCCACCCCCTCCCACTACCCCCCACCCCCTCCCACTACCCCCACCCCCTCCCACTCCCCCCACCCCTCCAACTCCCCCCACCCCCTCCCACTACCCCCCACCCCCTCCCACTACCCCCCACCCCTTCCCACTACCCCCCCACCCCCTCCCACTACCCCCACCCCCTCCAACTCCCCCCCACCCCCTCCCACTACCCCCCACCCCCTCCCACTACCCCCACCCCCTCCCACTACCCCACCCCCTCCCACTACCCTTACCCCCTCCAACTCCTCCCACCCCCTCCCACTACCCCCACCCCCTCCCACTACCCCCTCCCACTCCCCCCACCCCCTCCCACTCCCGCCACCCCCTCGCACTCCCCCCACCCCTTCCAACTCCCCCCACCCCCTCCCACTCCCCCCACCCCCTCCCACTCCCCCCACCCCCTCCCACTACCCCCCACCCCCTCCCACTACCCCCACCCCCTCCCACTACCCCCTCCCACTACCCCCCACCCCCTCCCACTACCCCCCACCCCCTCCCACTACCCCCACCCCCTCCCACTACCCCCCCACCCCCTCCCACTACCCCCCACCCCCTCCCACTACCCCCACCCCCTCCAACTCCCCCACCCCCTCCCACTACCCCCACCCCCTCCCACTACCCCCCACCCCCTCCCACTACCCCCCACCCCCTCCCACTACCCCCCACCCCCTCCCACTACCCCACCCCCTCCCACTACCCCCCTCCCACTACCCCCTCCCACTACCCCCCACCCCCTCCCACTACCCCCCACCCCCTCCCACTACCCCCCACCCCCTCCCACTACCCCCCACCCCCTCCCACTACCCCCCACCCCCTCCCACTACCCCCTCCAACTCCTCCCACCCCCTCCCACTACCCCCCACCCCCTCCCACTACCCCCCACCCCCTCCCACTACCCCCCACCCCCTCCCACTCCCCCCACCCCTCCCACCCCCCCCACCCCCTCCAACTCCCCCCACCCCCTCCCACTCCCCCCACCCCCTCCCACTCCCCCCACCCCCTCCAACTCCCCCCACCCCCTCCCACTACCCCCCACCCCCTCCCACTACCCCCCACCCCCTCCCACTACCCCCACCCCCTCCCACTACCCCCACCCCCTCCAACTCCCCCCCACCCCCTCCCACTACCCCCCACCCCCTCCCACTACCCCCCACCCCCTCCCACTACCCCCCACCCCCTCCCACTACCCCTACCCCCTCCAACTCCTCCCACCCCCTCCCACTACCCCCACCCCCTCCCACTACCCCCCACCCCCTCCCACTCCCCCCACCCCCTCCCACTCCCGCCACCCCCTCGCACTCCCCCCACCCCTTCTAACTCCCCCCACCCCCTCCCACTCCCCCCACCCCCTCCCACTCCCCCCACCCCCTCCAACTCCCCCCACCCCCTCCCACTACCCCCCACCCCCTCCCACTACCCCCACCCCTCCCACTACCCCCCACCCCCTCCCACTACCTCCACCCCCTCCCACTACCCCCCACCCCCTCCCACTACCCCCCACCCCCTCCCACTACCCCCCACCCCCTCCCACTACCCCCACCCCCTCCAACTCCCCCCCACCCCCTCCCACTACCCCCCACCCCCTCCCACTACCCCCCACCCCCTCCCACTACCCCCACCCCCTCCCACTACCCTTACCCCCTCCAACTCCTCCCACCCCCTCCCACTACCCCCACCCCCTCCCACTACCCCCTCCCACTCCCCCCACCCCCTCCCACTCCCGCCACCCCCTCGCACTCCCCCCACCCCTTCCAACTCTCCCCACCCCCTCCCACTCCCCCCACCCCCTCCCACTCCCCCCACCCCCTCCAACTCCCCCCACCCCCTCGCACTACCCCCCACCCCCTCCCACTACCCCCACCCCCTCCCACTACCCCCTACCCCCTCCCACTACCCCCCACCCCCTCCCACTACCCCCACCCCCTCCAACTCCCCCACCCCCTCCCACTACCCCTACCCCCTCCCACTACCCCCCACCCCCTCCCACTACCCCCCACCCCCTCCCACTACCCCCCACCCCCTCCCACTACCCCCACCCCCTCCCACTACCCCCCTCCCACTACCCCCCACCCCCTCCCACTACCCCCCACCCCCTCCCACTACCCCCCACCCCCTCCCACTACCCCCCACCCCCTCCCACTACCCCCACCCCCTCCCACTACCCCCTCCCACTACCCCCCACCCCCTCCCACTACCCCCCACCCCCTGCTACTACCCCCCACCCCCTCCCACTACCCCCACCCCCTCCAACTCCCCCACCCCCTCCCACTACCCCCCACCCCCTCCCACTACCCCCCACCCCCTCCCACTACCCCCCACCCCCTCCCACTACCCCCCACCCCCTCCCACTACCCCCTCCAACTCCTCCCACCCCCTCCCACTACCCCCCACCCCCTCCCACTACCCCCCACCCCCTCCCACTACCCCCCACCCCCTCCCACTCCCCCCACCCCCTCCCACCCCCCCCACCCCCTCCAACTCCCCCCACCCCCTCCCACTCCCCCCACCCCCTCCCACTCCCCCCACCCCCTCCAACTCCCCCCACCCCCTCCCACTACCCCCCACCCCCTCCCACTCCCCCCCACCCCCTCCCACTACCCCCCACCCCCTCCCACTACCCCCCACCCCCTCCCACTACCCCCCACCCCCTCCCACTACCCCTACCCCTCCAACTCCTCCCACCCCCTCCCACTACCCCCACCCCCTCCCACTACCCCCCACCCCCCTCCCACTCCCCCCACCCCCTCCAACTCCCCCCACCCCCTCCCACTACCCCCACCCCCTCCCACTACCCCCCCACCCCCTCCCACTACCCCCCACCCCCTCCCACTACCCCCTCCCCCTCCCACTACCCCCCACCCCCTCCCACTACCCCCCACCCCCTCCCACTACCCCCCACCCCCTCCCACTACCCCCCACCCCTCCCACTACCCCCCACCCCCTCCCACTACCCCTACCCCCTCCAACTCCTCCCACCCCCTCCCACTACCCCCACCCCCTCCCACTACCCCCCACCCCCTCCCACTCCCCCCACCCCCTCCCACTCCCCCCACCCCCTCCCACTCTCCCCACCCCTTCCAACTCCCCCCACCCCCTCCCACTCCCCCCACCCCCTCCCACTCCCCCCACCCCCTCCAACTCCCCCCACCCCCTCCCACTACCCCCCACCCCCTCCCACTACCCCCCACCCCCTCCCACTACCCCCCACCCCCTCCCACTACCCCCACCCCCTCCCACTACCCCCTACCCCCTCCCACTACCCCCCACCCACTACCCCCACCCCTCCCACTACCCCCCACCCCCTCCCACTACCCCCCACCCCCTCCCACTACCCCCCACCCCCTCCAACTACCCCCACCCCCTCCCACTACCCCCACCCGCGCCCACTCTCCCCACCCCCTCCAACTCCTCCCACCCCCTCCCACTACCCCCCCACCCCTTCCAACTCCCCCCACCCCCTCCCACTCCCCCCACCCCCTCCCACTCCCCCCACCCCCTCCCACTCCTCCCACCCCTTCCAACTCCCCCCACCCACTCCCCCACCCCCTCCCACTCCCCCCACCCCCTCCAACTCCCCCCTCCCACTACCCCCCACCCCCTCCCACTACCCCCCACCCCCTCCCACTACCCCCACCCCCTCCCACTACCCCCACCCCCTCCCACTACCCCCACCCCCTCCCACTACCCCCACCCCCTCCCCCCACCCCCTCCCACTCCCCTCACCCCCTCCCCCCACCCCCTCCCACTCCCCCCTCCCACTCCCCCCAAACCCCCACACCACCCCCCACCACCCTCTAACCACCCTCCAAACCCTCCCACCCGCCGCCCCCATCACAGGGGCGGCCATCTTGGTTAAGGTTAATTCCATTCACCTGTTTAACACGTGCTAGTTAGTGGTAGTAAGGCGTTCACGATCAATATTAGGGGCCGTCCATAAATGACGTCACGCGATTTTGGACAATTTTTAACCCCCCCCTCCCTTCGTCACACGGCGTCATAAAAAGTCAGACCCCCCTCAAATATGACGTCACAAAGCTCTGCCCCCCCCCCATAAAAAATATAAAACATGCTTCAAATCGCTTTAAACTATTGTCATTGTAGTGCGTATTTAATGTGGCGCTGCACTCTGATGTTGTAGGATAAAACATCTGTTAAAAAGTCTATTTAATTAAGTAGAACGTGTTGTCTATATTTATTTAAAGTTGCGCATTTTGATGTGACGTCATATTTCTCAACCCCCCCCCCCTCGTCACACATCGTCACAAATGTCTGACCCCCCCCCCCAGGTGCGTGACGTCATTTATGGTCGGCCCCTTATCCATAATAAAGGTTTTCTTTTTTTTTGGGGGGGGGGGGGAGGGGTGTTTGCGTAAATATAAATGCGTCGTTAAACCTGCTACCCACCCGGCACAGCCAATCAGTAAAGGTTTAATACTTTATTATCAGTAAAGGTCTGTCACGTAAACGAAACGTCCCAATTACATGATGCAAAGACTCCTCGACCTACGAACGAGTTAAGTTCCAGAGGCCTGTTCGCAAGTCGATTTGTTCGTAAGTCCAACTTTGTCGATTCCAAACAGGTTGTACGACATGT